GAGCAGGGAGCCCAATGTGGGACTCGATCCCAGGACCCTGGGATCATGACCTGAGCCGAAGGCAGACGCTTAATGACTGAGCCACCCAGGCGCCCCCTAAGCACGTTTCTTAAGTACCTTTTGTGCTACTGTTTATGGGAGGAAAATGGTATGACATATAGCATAATGTAGATCGATTTTATAATAGGTTTTACTCAATTCATTCAAACCAAGTGGTCAATATGTGGAGCAGACAGTAGCAGAATTGGCAGCAGGGAAATTTCTTAACCACCTGCTTTTATAGTTGGTCAACGTGACCCACCTCTCTGACAGATGATTGGAATGGAGTGTTGCCCTCTCTCTACTCAGGAATTGCTCCAGAAGTTGCACTTAACTGTAACTAATCGTAACAATTAGAATTCTTCACTAGGATTTTTTTTTAAGCTAGAAATTAGAGGAAGAGTCCCTTTTCCAGTCTGATGGCATATTTGATAAAAACGTAAGCTGGGAAGTGGAATATTCAAAGCACCAGTTTTGTGGACAAAGCCTATCTGAGATAACATGAAGTTCCCCGACCATGTTCAGGGATAGGTTTAGCCCTGCCTGAGGCCAGTTCCTCCCTCGTCCATCCCACAATCTCTTTACATTGAACCAGTAACTTCCCATTTTGCCTAAACTAGTTTTCCTTGTCTTTTGTTTTGTTTTTTTTAAGATTTATTTACTTATTTGATGGAGACAGAAAGAGGGAGAAAAAGAGTAGGGGGAGGGGCAGAGAGAGACTCTCAAGCAGACTCCCCACTGAGCTCAGAGCCCAATGTGGGGCTCAATCCCATGTCCCATTAGACCACGACCTGAGCAGAAAACCAAGAGCCAGATACTCAACTGACTGCCCCACCCAGGCACCCCTCCCATGTATTTTTTTTTTAAGATTTTTTATTTATTTATTTGACAGAGAAAGACAGAGTGAAAGAGGGAACACAAGCAGGGGGAGTGGGAGGGGGAGAAGCAGGCTTCCCGTGGAGCAGGGAGCCCGATGTGGGGCTCGATCCCAGGACCCTGGGATCATGACCTGAGCAGAAGGCAGACGCTTAATGACTGAGCCACCCAGGCGAGCCATCCAGGAGCCCCTCCTCCCATGTATTTTTATTACCTGCCAAGAACTGACCTCCTCAGTGCCACAGACTTAGAGTTAAGATTGCTTCGCTCTGAACTGAGACAATAAGAATGTTGATACTGTACCTTTTATTTCCTCCACAAGCGTTAAAGTACCAACCACATTGTCTGCAGGATACTCCCTGGTGTAGATGTTCAGTTGGTCGTTTTCACTTCCACTGTTATATAAATAAAATTGCAAGCACTGAAATCCTCTTTTAGGGTATAATGTTTGACTTTCCAGCAGGGCCGTGGCCCCCACGCTTACAGAGCTACTGTTGAAATGCATGAAGAAACCAGAACCTGTTCAGAAAACAAAAGCAGAATTGACAAAGCAGATACGAGATATAGGCATGCGTCTACTTAGTACCCACTGCAGGCAGAGCACTGTGCTGGGTATTTAAGTACAGTTCCATGAGCAGGCGGTTGATAAAAGAGATCTTGGGCCACCTTTTCCTTACTATAGCTTTCAAACTCAGAAAAAAGTATCACCTTCTTGGCCTCGTGTGTGTCTCTCTCTCTCTCTCTCATCTTCTCCCTCCCTCCTTTCCTTCCTCCTTCCTTCTGGCCTATGGAGGACCACTATCCACTATCCAAATCTGCATTTTAAAAGAAAAGGGTATTTTTATTGACATATATTTGACATAGAGCATTGTGTAAATTTAAGGTGTACGACATGTTAATTCGATACATTTATATACTGTAATATGGTTGCCACTGTAGCGGTAATTAGCAACCTCTAACATGTCACATAATTATCATTTCTTTTTTTGTGGTCGGAATAATTAAGTTCTAGTCTCTCAGTAAGTTTAGTGATTAGAATATAATATTGCTGTCTATATTCCCTGCACGGTGCATTAGATCTCCAGGGCTTCTTTACTACTCATTGCAAGTCTGTACCCTTAACATCTGCCTTCCTGCCCCCAGCCCTCCAAGAAAGAAAAAGAAAAGGAAAAGCACTCTTCACTGTTAGGGACCCCAACCACTGCCTAGACTGGCTGAGCTGTCATGCAATGACCCTGAGTTCTGAAGTCTAGTCGTACATCTTTGTTGCCAGGAATGAGCAAATAAATAAAAATGGAGTACTTGTAGCCAAATAAATGATTGTTTAATTTAAAACAAAATTATGATGGAAAAGGATACTCATCTGAATAAAATTAAATAAATTGTACTTTGTCTCTTCATTTTCAGGACTTTTATAACAGGGAGGTGTAATCACAACCAACTGAAATTCTGAAACGGATTAATTCACAGCCTTGTGCTGTTCACTGGAAAGTCTCTTGTATCTCGTGAGCTTTGAGAAAACCACCCCGCTACCCTGGACATAAGAGCCCTTCCAGGAGGTACAGTCCCCTCCTGCTGTGGGCACAGACAGGGAGAGGTTTCACAGAGCGCAGCTCTGACTTATAGAAAGAAGAGAAAAGTAAAGAGGAAAAGCAAAGAAATGAGCCATGTCCTTATAAGGCATAGAACTGTATCCTTAGTAGCAACCGAATGGGTTATCATTAATAATTCAGATAGAAATTAGGGATAAAATCCCAGTCTTTCATAGCAAAGAAAAATGCTGGGATCACCAAGTGTAAAATCCAGAAGTATCTCACTCCTGTTACCTTTGCACTGGCCCATGTTGGAGTGATCGCTCTCGGGCCCTCTGGGAACCTGGGACACCCATTGCCAGTCAGCATTATCATCTGAACTTTGAATCATACCACACACATTTTCCAGTTCAAAACTACATGAGTCCATAAAGCTCAGGGAAGTGGCTACAAAAGTAAAATGACAATTATTGACACTCCTCCGACATGATAATCCAAGTACGGAAGTACTAGGAATACCAGGATGGCATTAAAGCGGACACCTTGCTGATTCTGGGGGTTGAAGACTTCTCGATATCTGCAAAACCAAGGGATTGATCAACTCTGTGTATCTGAATAAGCTGTCTGCCCCAAGACATTTTTCTTTAATCATCTAATGTATAGGAACCTGAGTCTACACTCCTCTAGTTACCCAGATTATTAAACTGCAACACAGATTATTTGATCCCATTTGTATGACAGCTCTTCATTCAAAACATTGACATGGGGCATGTTACTATAGGCCCCAATCTGTGTTTAGATCTGAAGGCCAGATCTTCTGAGAAGAAAAATGTGGCTTCTAAGCTGTGGATTGGGATTTGGGTGCTCTTATGTTGTTGTTGTTTTTTTGCTTAATATCAAACTTCTACTATAAAATTATAATTATCAAACAACTATCAAACCATCATTTCAGAAAAGCCAGCGATGCTCAGCAAAATGGCACAGCATGTAATTTTTCCTACATGGCAGAGAGACACAGAAGGCATTTCAAAGAACCTGCCACATACTGCAGTTATATAGTCGATTCAACTTTAAGAGATCATAGTCACTGAAATCCATTCGTTGGCCGATCACATCCATGAAGTCTGAGATTCTTGTGACAATTGTTGGCTCTGTTCCATTCTGGAAAGCAGTCTTACTGTAGTGCATTACAGAGGTGTAATCATAGGGAACATTCAAGGAGTCTGATTCTTGGTCATTGTAGGTGTTAAAATTGTGCTCTCTGCCTAAATGATAAATTTGAAAAGATCTTTAATTACTTGATGCTCACAACACTTAGCCTACCTTCTTCTAAGTTTCCATTACTGCCCAAGGTTGGACATTAACATTTAGTGTAAGGCTCTAAGAACAGCTAATAGAAAGGTAGATTCTCAATGGTGGTGTCGGGACAGTCAGGATCACTGGCAGGTGCTGATGGGAGGGTGGGGGCACCCACAATAGATGGAGATGGAGGTAAAAGGCCTTTGAGAGGCGTGGTGGGGAGGCACCTGGGAATGATAGCACAGACAGGAGTCATCAGAAGGAAATGACATAGCCGGGGGTTTCATGGTTACTGGAATATGTGTGCAAGTTATATGGTATGCAAATACCTTTAGAGAGGATACCTAGTTGCTTAGGATCACACTAACGGGCAATGGATGGCAACTTGAAATGGGATGATTTTGTGGAAATAGTGAGGTGGATCTGGTCTCTAAAGCTTACAGAAGTAAAACATCAAGACATCAGTTTTTCCATTATTAAGAGTTGGCAAGAGATGGCACATGCTTAGAAATTCAGTTTTTAGGGGCGCCTGGGTGGCTCAGTTGGTTAAGCGACTGCCTTCGGCTCAGGTCATGATCCTGGAGTCCCTGGATCGAGTCCCGCATCGGGCTCCCTGCTCGGCGGGAGTCTGCTTCTCCCTCTGACCCTAACCCCTCTCATGTGCTCTCTCATTCTCTCTCTCTCAAATCAATAAATAAAATCTTTAAAAAAAAAAAAAAAAGAAAAAAGAAATTCTGTTTTTAACAGAAAAAAGACTGTAAGAAAACAAAAGAAATGTACCTGACAGAATTCTGTCCCACATTATGCTGACATAGTCATCCCGGTCAGAACGTGACTGCTCATGCCAGAATCCCAGTGCATGGAGGAACTCGTGTTGGACTGTTGCTATTCTGTCACAGTTTTGCCCGATGGAGAGTTGTTGCTTCCCCACGTGCCTGTTTCCCACTGAAGACCAGCAGCTTACAGGAGAGTTCACAGGACAGGGGGAGAGGGTGTTCTCATGATGGTTCAGAGTAAAATCCCCAGGGCCCAGTCCACTCAGTTACCCACCTAGATCCTTCACTCTTATAATCAGGACATTGCATTTCTCTCTTAACCCTGGCAAGCTATGAGAAACCTTACAGACCAGATGATATTTGGAGATCTGACCCTGGCATCAACTATTACATAGGAGCAAGTCATCCCCCAATCAACCTAGTCCGGATTTTTTCCTGGAAATTTCTAAGTTCTTCACATTGTCCTTGGTATGTGGATGACTGCTAATAAGGTTTTTATAGGTATAGCAACCACGCAGAATTGCTGAGCTCTGGGCAAATAACACTGTCAGTTTAACTCAAGTAGTAAGTGTAGTTAGGTTAAAATAAATTGAGATACACATGCGTGCACACATACACGCGCGCACCTACACACGTGTTTTACCGGAAGAGGGAAAGAAGGAGGATGTCAGCTACAAACAGCTGAAGTTCCCTGAGTTGTGGGATGGATGGCATGCAATCCCACCCTCCTGGTCTTAATATGGTTGCATGTATGAAAACATTATTTTTAGGGGTGCCTGTGTGGCTCAGTCATTAAGTGTCTGCCTTCGGCTCAGGTCATGATCCCAGGGTCCTGGGATAAAGCCCCTCATCGGGCTCCTTGCTTCTCGGGAAGCCTGCTTCTCCCTCTCCCTCTGCCCCTCCCCTCTGCTTGTGCTCTCTTCAAATAAAGAAATAAAATCTTTAAAAAATATATATTATATTTATAGCTAGAGACACTAAATACCGTTTGTCTTTTACTCTCCAGCAAATGGCTAAGGAAGCCCCCCACCCACCTCAAGGTCAGGGCCTAGGACAATTGCTGGAACAGGTCACAGCTGCAACGTTCTCATTTGAACCCCTAGAAGACAAATTCTCCACCTTACCCGCTGCCCTTAAACACTGATATATAGTTAGCTTCTCCAGCCCAAGGCTTGAAGTCAATGCATGATTTTAGGCGATAGCGTTCAAATGCATTAAGGATAACTCCCTTTGCGTTCATTTCTGATGGAAGAAAACCAACAAAAAATACACTTATTAACATTATCACCATTGAACGATTCACCATGGAAACAGGCTATGCAATATATTACTTATGAGTCAGTCCCTTCGTGAATGTGTAGCATTTTATTTTTACCAAATTTAGTATTCTGTACAAATTAAGTATGTATCATATACAAGATTTGATTATTCTTCAAATCCCTGATTTTGCCCCATTTTTATTTCTCTGGAACCTTTAAAGAGTACATTACAGAAGAACAAAAAAGACATTTCCTTACCTCAGAGAACATATACCTTGGATCACAGGCAGCCAAAGTGAACACTCACTGTCACAGGCCTCATCTGAGAAGCTATAGTATGTATTTAAAGCCCCACAGCAGAGCTTTTAATTGGAGGACCTTGAGATGGGAGAGTCCATGAATATGTTTATATGTGAAGTATCTATATCTGTATTTATATCATCTATATCTGTTCTGTATCTATATCATCTATCATCTATATCTGTGTCAGTCTATATCTATATCCGCAAAGTGTGTTTCCTGGGGAGACTGTTCGTGAGCTTCTCAAGTGAGTTCAGGGCCCAAATTAGGCTTAAGAACCATTGCTTCAGGGGTGCTGGGCTGGCTCAGTTGGTTAAGCGTCTGACAGAATTTCTTCTATCATCTCCTCATTAATCTCCTTACTTTCTTTTTGCCTCTTCTACACTGCAACTAGCAGGATCACAATCTCACATCCACGTTAAAACCGTTGGAGGTCCCACATCACCATCAGTAGGCACACCAAGTTCTTTAACGTGGGAAACACTCAAGCCTTTCCAGTCTAGATCCTGCCTACCTGTTCAACCTCATTAACTCCCCACTTCCAATCTAGATTCCAGTTAAGGGTTTTCTCCTTTCCTCATGCCTTTGCACATAGTGACTCATCTGCCTGGAGCACCCTTCCCTTGCCATCAGAGGGGGTACTGGCCCACACAATGCCTTCCTGCAGATTACAAAGAAGCACCTCGTCTGGGCAGATGCAGCAACTGTTGATTTGGCAGGTAGATAAATAGCACTTCATGCAAAGTAACAAATGCGTCTTGATGAACAAAATGCAAACTTGATTTCAGTCCCACTTTACCCCCCACCCAGGCACCGATGTATTGTGTATAACTTGCATAATTTTCATGGCCGCCCTGCTGCAGTGTCAGCTGCTTCCTGATGCATATGCCTTTATATCTAGGTTGAGTTCAATGCCCCTCCAACGTGCTCCCATGGCTTTTGAACTTATCACTAAGCAAAATGTTTATTCCATTCTATTATAATTAACTCTTGGCATATCTGAATCTCCACTGAAATGTGTGAACTTTAAGAAAAGTTTCCCAAAAGACAGTTCCCAAAGTGATTCTGGTAACTGGTACCATAAATAAAATGAGGACCATGTTTACAGTTTTTCATTACAATTAAATTTCTTCTATAGAAAAGCTGTCCTTAATTTTGGATTGGATTCTTCTGATTTTTTACTATTGAAATTTTCTTTATTTTATGAAAAGATGATGATAAAGATAGTGGGTTCTTGTAGTTGGGTAAATTCCTGACTTGGTGAAATAAAATGTTGGTAAACATTTTATTTGGTAAACTCAGTCTCCCCACTGAGTAGGGAACCCAATGCGGGACTCGATCCCAGGACCCCGGGATCATGACCTGAGCCAAAGGCAGATGCTTAACCGACTGAGCCACCCTGCTGAAGAGTTTCAAGCCAGGAAGTGAAATGGTGTCATTGCCTGTTTAAAAGACCACTTTGCTGTGGGGGGCATGGGAGGTGGGGACAGGGACAGGGTGGAAAAGATTATAAGGGAGCAATATTTGAAATAGAAAGACAAATTAGGAGAAAAATGGGTTATTTGGGGCACACATTGCAGACAGAAATGGCAGAACTTGCTAATGGATTTAGGCCAGGTCCTAAAATATTTTTTTTGTTGTTTCATGTTTTTAACTTGTATGTAAAATCTGAACATATGGGAAACCACTACTTTCAAATAAAGACTAATTCCCTGACTTTTATGTCCCCAGCACCCAATACAGAGTAGGCTCTCCATAAATGTTGGTTGCATTAATCCCTTTCTTGGTCAAAATTCAGCAACTATTTCAGACAAAATCATTTAGGTTCTTTTCATTATTCATTTTGCTTATTTTTATAAGTAAATGTTCATGGGCCCATAAAGCAACAAACCTTTAAAGACCATGCGAGCTCACCCTTGAAAATACTGTGATTATAGGGCACCCGGGTGGCTCAGTCAATTGGGCATCTGTTTTCAGCTCAGGTCATGATCCCAGGGTCTTGGGATCAAGCCCCACATCGGGCTCCCTACTCAGTGGGAGCCTGCTTCTCTCTCTCCCTCAGCCTGCCATTCCCCCTGCTTGTGCTCTCTCTCTCTCTGTCAAATGAATGGATAAAATCTTGAAAGAAAGAAAGAGAGAGAGAGAGAGAGAGGGAGGGAGGAAGGAAGGAAGGAGAAGAAAGAAACAAAGAAGCAAACAACCAAAGAAAGAAAATACTGTGATTATATTCTGTCAGGAACATACATCAGTTACACATACTCCAAGGTATATACTAACCCAAGCTATCTTCTAGAACATATGGAATGGTATGAGGCCATCTGTATTCTTCTCCAATGATAGAATTTCTATCTTGTGCCTGTCAAAAATAAATGTGAAGGGTTATTTGATGAATCAGGCAAAAACTTGGGAAACAATGAATAGTTAATCAAGAAATAAATGAAATTTAAAATGCAAGAAAATAAGTAAGTTTATGCAGGATACATTTAATGGTAGTGGAGGGTTGCTCTGGTTCTGAGGTGGGAATAACACTTGGTATGTTCTAATCTGTTTTGAGGCCAGTAGCCTCATGAATTAGGAGAAAAAAGAGATGAGATAAGAGAGAAGTGGGGGAGATGGAAGGACAGATAGTCAGGAGTTAAATTATGCAGGTCTTGAAGGCTGTGGGTAAATTTGGATATTATTCTACATGCAACAGGAAGTTGTTGAAGAGTTTTGTTGTTTTTTTTAAAAAAGATTTTATCTCTTTATTTGAAATCGAGAGAGAGAGCAGGAGCAGGGGAGCAGAGGGAGAGGAAGAAGCAGTCTCCCCGCTGAGTAGGGAGCCCGATGCAGGACTCGATCCCAGGACCCCGGGATCATGACCTGAGCCAAAGGCAGATGCTTAACCGACTGAGCCACCCTGCTGAAGAGTTTCAAGCCAGGAAGGGAAATGGTGCCATTGCCTGTTTAAAAGACCACTTTGCTGTGGGCGGGGAGGGGGGGGATGGGAAGCGAGGACAGGGTGGAAAAGATTATAGGGGAGCAATATTTGAAATAGAAAGACAAATTAGGAGAAAAGTGGGTTATTTGGGGCACGCGTTGCAGACAGAAATGGCAGCACTTGCTAATGGATCAGATGCTGGGGTGAGAGAAAGGGCAGAAGCAAAGGTGACTCCTGGAGTTTTTACTTATTCAGGGGAGTAGGGGGATGATTTTGCTAAGAGGGAAGATCTGGGAGGAGCAGTTTGCATGAAAAATCTGAGTTCAGTTTAGGACACCTTACATTTGAGGCTCCTGATAGACACAGAAACGGAACTGACAAATAGGCACCTGGATAGACCAGTCTGGAGTGCAGCAGAAGGAATGAATGAGAGCCACACATTTGGAGTCATCAGCATAGAGATGACATGTCAAACCCTGTCACAAGGTGAGATCAAGAAGGAGAGTACAGATAGAAGAGCCCAAGACCAACCATTGGATACTGCAGCTCTGCTTCTTGAGTTGAAATTCCCAGTGGAGGTTTGATTTAAACTATCTGTAAGGTACCTATGTTCATCCGTGCGCCATGTACTCTTCATGCATAGATTTGGGAGGATCTTTACTTGGCAACACTATCTTTAGCTGTCAGGATTGAAGTCACAAAATCTATCTTTTATGGTAAAAAGCCCGATTCATTGACATTTACAAATTCAGTTTAATTTTGCTTCAACTAGATGAAATCAGTGAGGTTCTATTTAAAAATGAAAACATCATATTGTTCCAATAATGAAAATCCATCAGATCAATAAGACCAAGGCATACATGGTGGGTGATGGTGGCATTGACCACACAGAAATCTGAGGAATGGCTGATGAAGGCACTATTATGGGAGTCTCTCAGAGTATAATATATTCATTGAATAAATCTGTCACCAGGACTCGGTACCCTTAGAGATAGTTGGGCTTAACAAAGCCCATGTTGCCCAATCATACTCAGATATTCTGTATTTTGGTTTGCAGTAATTAACAGAAGATTCTTCCTTGCTTTGTTTCAACTCACCCCATCAAGTCTGATGTCCCCCTCAAAAAGATCCAGTCCCAAATCTAAGAGGGAAGATAAAAATTCATGTTAGCAAACTGGATTCGAACTCTCCACTTAATAAAAAATGTAAAAAAAAATCCACAAACCTTCATTGATATCAAATATATCTTGATCGAGTCCACCATCTACATCTTTAACTAAAGGAACAAAGAAAACCACAATGAACATTATGTTTATGAAAGAAGACAATCTTCATCAATTACCATATTAAAAGTAAGTAAGGTTCTTTTGCCTCAGTAAGTGACTACTAGGTTCTGATTCAATGTACACGGATTGATTGACTGACTGATGGAGAACAGGTTCTGATTCAATATACATTGATTGATTGATTGATTGGTTGATTGACTGAGAACCTCTCATGAGCCAGGCTTGGGGCTATGGGGCTTTTGCATATATGCTCTTATCTTATCCATGTCCCTTGAATGCCAGATGACTTCAGGAATAAGAAATTGGTCACTCTATATAATATTAAACTTAATTTTAAAGACTAGACTAGATGATTAGATTAAATAGGAAGTAAATGTTTAAATTTGGTCAAACCAGTACAATCTGCCCAATATATCCCTTGCTAGTAACATACCTTGGAACTCTGAAGCAGAATTACTAATTTAAATTTGAATTACTCTTTTAAGTTACAAAGGAGTGGATAATATAGCCAAATCTCTAAGTGGACAACAGAGTAGGATGGACATCAGGTCTATCTGAGTTTATACAAAATAGCAAAAGTAATAATAGCAAGCATTGATGGGATGTCTTGTGTTTGTCACTGTGTTTAGACTTTTCTATGTCACCATTTATTTTTTTGCTTGGTATGTGGAACCCTGGAACAAGAACAATAAAACATTCCTCAATAAATCAAAAGAAGGCAGTGTTTGATTAAAGTTCAAAGCAATTATAAAATTATGCTTATGCAATTTTGCATTGTGCTTCACATTAAATGTGTCCTTAGTTCTTCTGTTTTGTTGTTCTATTATCCACATAACTTTCTTTTACTATAACTTGGAGCAAAAACTCAAAATAGACTCACCAAAGTTTTCTCGAGTTGGCTGAGAAACAAACACATAAAAAAAAGGCATTATTATGACACCCATGACATAAGTGATCTTCTTGGTTCCAATTTATATCTAGCAATTTGTGGGTTTGTTTGTTTTTTAGATTTTATTTATTTATTTGACAGAGAGATAGAGCCATAGTAGGCAGAGTGGCAGGCAGAGAGAGAAGGAGAAGCAGGCTCTCAGATGAGCAGGGAGCTGGATGTGGGGCTCGATCCCAGGGTCCTGGGATCATGACCTGAGCCGAAGGCAGCTGCTTAACCGACTGAGCCACCGAGGCGCCCAAATTTGTGGGGTTTTTTTTATTAATATTATGTATTACTTTCTGGCTTATATCCAAGACAGCTAATTTGGAGTCTATAATAACTTTCTGACCAAAGGGTCTTTTTATTTCATATAAAAAAAATGAAACTGGCTGTTATATGAATTTGAAGGTGAAAGAAACAAGAAACCAATTTCACAGATTGAAAAGAAGGCAGAACATAAGACTCCAGCCCTCAGATAAACATTCGCCTTAAACATGATTCTCTAAAGGATTCAGGGAGCAATGTTTGAAAAACCTAATAATTTATCCTCATTGTTGAAACATTATTGCAATTTATTACAATCCCTTCTAAAAAAATTTTATCGAAGACCTCATTAATCATGGTTTTTTTTCACATTTTTCTCAACACTCTGCTTTCAAAGACAATACCAAATGTTTAAGGAAAAAAAAAATCAATGGGTATACTTTGCAATTAAAAAAAAAAAAACTTTAAAAAAAAAATAGCAAACTTCTGAAAATAGGTTCTACAAGTGATCACATGAAAAACCCAGAATACCCGCCCAATAGAAAAACGTAAGTAAACCTGAGAAATGTCTTAGTGGAGTCTAGTGAAAAAGCTCATGGGCCTGGCAGACAGTAGGTGTGGGTCATATTCCTGGTTCCACCAACTCAGAGTAAGTCAGCTCACCCTCCCGAAACTCAGACTGTCTGTAAAACTGGTTAATATGGCTTACATAGACAAATACCAGAAGCCTATGGACTGTTTGGCAAGCAGTGGGAATTAACTGATTGGATAGTTTACCCTTCTTTTTGACGTTAACAAGTGCCCTATTTGTCTCACACTCACAGAGGAATACCAAGACACCCAATGGAAAAGTATTGGTGCGTAACTGCAATTTTAATGTATCTTAAATGGTATCTCTTGTTCTCAATGCTGTAGATCCCATTTACGGAATATCAACTCAATATAATCACTTATTTTTAAATCCCAACTAAAGTCCGCCCCCTCTCCCCGAGGCATTTGAAACTTCATTTAAAACCCTGAGCTGGTCTGTGGTACAAACTACCTGTCACTGTAGCAAGATTGGTCAAAATGGACAAAGAAGCAGAAGAGAAACCCCATGCTACAAAACTGTAAGTGTTTGCTTTGCCAGTGACATTCATCATTCACTCCATTCGTGTCTCATGTCACGGTAACAGCAAAATGCATTTCACTCAGCAGTAAAAATGGAATGGTTGTCACATTTCGCATTTTCCATGTCATCAAAAGAAAACTTGCTATACAAAAATGAAACTGAAAGAAATATATAACTTTATGTCAATGTCCCCGACTCTTTCCCCCCGGGGGGCTTCTTCTCACTCCCTATGACCCTGCCTGTCCCTTGCTGGCCCCAAACGAAACACTCCTTTCATTAATGTTTTGAAATTCCTAAAAAACAAGAAATGGACAAACAGGCAATTGGCCCCCAATTTTTCTAATCATTTTCCAAATATTGTTTCCTTACCAAGCCAGGAACCATGAGGAGAATGGCAGAGAACAGAAACCAAGGCAGATACCATGAATCCATGTTATCACTTCCAGTTGGAACTGCAAACTATGAAAGTCAGAATAGCATTTACTCTTTAAAAGGCAAACATCGTAACTTCCAGCCTTTGATCTCAATGATCTTGCAGGTCAGCACACCGTGGTGGTAGTACCTATAATCAAAGAGTTAAAGTCCAGTATCCCGAACACAGCTCTGCAGAGTAGTTGGTTGGCTTTTTTTTTTTTTTCCCATGTCAACATTCAGTATCCAAGTGCCTGGCTGAATCCTGTTAATGAAATAAGTTCTCTAATATATACATACTTGCCCCCAGGATTATTAACGACCACTCGAGAAAAAGAAAATATCAAATTGGGGCGCCTGGGTGGCTCAGTTGGTTAAGCGACTGCCTTTGGCTCAGGTCATGATCCTGGAGTCCTGGGATCGAGTCCCGCATCGGGCTCCCTGCTC